AGTTAGTCTAAACATATTTATTTGGCGCAATTGCCCCAGGAGCACACGTTGGCTCATCTAGGGGGCTCTTGCACAAAAATAAAGATTTACATATTCAAGCATGCAACACACAAGTATCACACAACATCAATAATTATAAGGTTTTACATATATCACAATCAGAGTCATCGCTTTGAAACACGTTAATTACCTACTGCAACAAGCCCTCAGAAACACAAGCATCGAGAATTTTGTAGCACCTCAGACAGCTTGTTACAGTTAAACAGGTACTTACAATAATATTTTTTTTACATTTTTTACGAACTGAGAAACGAGATGTATCAATTATAAATCTTTGTACAGCAAAAAACAATCTATGATTTACATTAAAAGCAACGTTATTACATCCAGAAAGCAAAAAAGAAAGTTCTAGTTCTCTCATTAATTCTCCAAAACCCTCGCCCCTTCCTAATGTGCTCTGAATTAAATTACTGTAAGAGGATTTACAGTATTTTGTTATCTAATGCACAGTCATCATTCTTTTTTTTTTGTAAACATACAATAATGTGAAATATTAATTTCCCACCATCAATTTATTATTTCTTACAGCTCGAGCGAATTACGAGCACATGTTTTAACTGCTTTCCAAGAACTCATGGAACACGGCATTGTGACATGGGACTTGATCAACAATGTGTTTGTCAAGAAGGTACAATCATAACTGTCCATTTCTCAAGCAGAAAGTTACATTTATTTCTAAACGCAATTCTGTACGTAACCTGTAGTGCTGTGCGCTGGAGTTCTGCCGGAGCTCCGACGTTTTCTGGTCAGCCGGAGTTGCGTGCTTTCTCCCAGCTCCAACTGGAAAGTCAGAATGACAAGATTTGTGGCAATTTCGTAGAATTAGCGTTGGCTACTGGAAACGGCCAAATACACCCTTCCAGAAAGTACGTCATTTTTGCTATAGAGCCTCGTTTTCATTATTGATACGCCATACGGTAGGCTTTAACTAATATCACATACACGAAAGCGAGGCTCTATAGCCATCCTTGATGCGCATCCTTGATACAGTCCGAAACGCAACTGAACTTGGAACGCGTCTTGAAGTACACCTTGGGGCGTGCCCCCAAGCAAATTTTCAACGCCTCGCAAGCGCAATTTGGAACGCATCCGAACGAAAATTTCAACGCGTCTCGAGTTCATCCTGCATCGATATATTGCTATACACAGGCTAGTTTTAATCTAACAGTATGATTCTCTGCTCTAGTTATGTAGCTTTGTCAGTACGACTGCGTTAACCGACCCCACCGTATTAAAGAGATCGTTATCCATATTAGAATCAGTTGTACAAAACAGGTACGACATATTATTTAGCTTATAACATATCTGTAGGTTTTATTTTTGTGGCGGTAGGAATGGAGGTCTAGAAATGAAAGCTAACGATGGCATATCAAACATTTGGCCAAGATTGTAGCTCCACTCCCTGTAACTCCAGAATTATTAAAGTTTTGAAGCACATATTTTGACACTTTTTGACAGGTTTTCTGACTTCTGCAGCCATGGCTAATTGTAACTCTTTGTGACTTTTGTTCTTTTTTAGTCCGAATTTTTATACCGTAGTATCAAGAGATGTTACCATTGATAGTTTAATACAACATCTCCAAAAGTAAGTTCTTTTTCGATATTTTTGAACGTATTTTTGCTATTTGAGTGTCGTTGAGGATTTTCGTATCATTTCAGTGTCAGTGAGGATGTAAAAATCAATACAATTGCTCTGATCAACGCATTAATATTGAAGACACCGCCAGATCGAAGGAAGGTACAGGGAATGTCATTTTTGAAGGGTTTTTCCTATTCAAGTTTGCCTAGTTTGGGAATTGTGACCTGGAATTTGAATATCTTTTATTTGTTCTTTGTCTAAGAATTTAGCCAGTGAAATATTGTCAGTTGGAGTACGAAGCGTTTTATTAACAGTGAGTGTTATATATACTACTACAACGTCTGTGACCAATGTACTGTATTGTGGTGACATGATAAAAGTTACAGACTACAGTTTCTACTACAGTAAGATAGGTTATAGAAACGGTAAACACCTTAGTTCTGGCGAAAGTAAAAAGTAGGCACATTGTGCGTACGTGTTTTGCGGAATGCTGTTGCGCAGCCGTAGTTATAATCTTTGGTGCAATGGGCGTTTGTGCATTCGCTTTGGTAAGCAAAAGTCGAGGTTGGTAATGATTTCACTGTTAACATAGTTTGGATCACAATCTGGTAACAACTTCACAAACTAATAAAAGTTGTTACAACTTGTTGGCAAGCTTGCTACAAGCCTGTTGTGAACACATCTTGTTGACAAGATGTGAAATTTTTACGTGTGTGAAGCCGAATTGCCTTTTCATCTTATTTCTAGAACATAATCCGCAATCCTCGAGGCGTGTCAGATGAAATGGCTCACCAGCTATACACGTATCAACAGTTGACACTGAACTTTCTACAAGGCAGAATGAATTGTCAGATGAGAGAGGAGGACCAGGTATGCTCCGCGACCACTGATTGGTCAATAGGTATAATACGCGAGCGCTGATTGGTCAATAGGTATAATACGCGACCACTAATTGGTCAATAGGTATAATACGCGACCACTGATTGGTCAATAGGTATACTACGCGAGCGCTGATTGGTCAATAGGTATAATACGCGACCACTGATTGGTCAATAGGTATAATACGCGAGCACTGATTGGTCAATAGGTATAATACGCGAGCACTGATTGGTCAATAGGTATAATACGCGAGCACTGATTGGTCAATAGGTATAATACGCGAGCACTGATTGGTCAATAGGTATAATACGCGAGCGCTGATTGGTCAATAGGTATGGTATTCGAGCGCCGATTGGTCAATAGGTAAATGGTCGACCAACAAGTATTTATTTATTTTAGGCTGAAAAGGATAAAATTGAAAACCTACGCAAAGCAGTTTTCGAGTCAAATATCGTTCACTTCGACGTGCAAATGAGGACGTCAAAAGATTATAGAAAACTGGGGTTTGAAGTAAGTGTGGAACAAAATATTTTGATAAGCTTATACACGTGACCAGTTGCATTTAGTTGCGCGTTTAGATAGTTTTCTGAGAACTATTATGCGTCAGATGGTGGTCAAAGGGCAGAATGAGAAAATGATATTACAAGGTTTCTACCCTTTAGTGAAGATGAAATTTAAGGATTTTTCTAGGACTTTCAAGGACGTTTTTCAGTAAATTCAAGGTCAGGTATTATCAGCACAGCTGGAAAGAAATTCCAGGACTTTCAAGGACTTTCCAGGTGTGAATTGTTTTTCAAATTCAAGGACTTCCCAGAATTTTCAAGGACTTGCCAAAATTCCAAGGACTTCCCAGATTTTCAAATACTTCCCGGAATTTCCAAGGACCGTGGACACCCTGATGTTAATTCTTATAAGTATGTGCGATTATCTGGTATTTGGTGGAAAATAAATTGAATTGAGAGATGTGAAGATTTGCTGAGATTAACCATCTGCTGCCATCCTTCCCTGTAGAGACAGACGCTTTTAAAGTCGGAATGTGGAAGGCACGCAGCCTCTACTGAACTCGACTTTCTTTACTGGATATTTTCCCAATTCATTGTTTGTAATGTCAAAATACGTACTCCCTGATTACTAGCGAGTAAATATTTTTCATTGCAGAAACACATAAAATTATCAGAAAATTTCCGCGAAACGCCACCAGGAATTTTGCCCCTGGATTGTATGACATATTTTAGTAAACAGTTTCCAGATTCGTACATAAAGGTAATTATCTTAAATTGTTGTCACTCCTTTGCTACATGGCCGACTGTGAAACGTCTTGATGAGAACATTCGTATTCTTCAACAATTTAAAGTAAATGAATGATAGTTGGTGAGAAAATTGAACTTAAAGTTTTTGTAAATCAGCATGATTTTGGATCAGATATATACAAACTCCTTCACGCTCATGATTTCTTTTGTGGGGTTTTTTTTCATGAATTATATTATAGTTCTATAGAATATATGTTATAGCTACATGTTAAGGCCCGTTTACACGGGCGATTTTTGCTGCGATTTTCTCCTTTTGGAGGATGTGAAGGAGTGGATGAGTTATAAATGTTCCAGGTTATGAAATCTCCTTCTACTCTTTCATATCCTCCAAAAGGAGAAAATCGCAGCAAAAAGAATGCGTCATTTGGATGCGTAGAAAACGTGTTGGTCAAAACGTCTATGAATAGTGTTGGTTTTTACTTGGAATATATGGTCATGGCCAGATACCTTTATCTAGGTTGTATTAGAAAACATGGGCCGTGGTGATGGACACGAATGCCCGTTTGGTAAATCAAGTATCGCTTTAGTAAAGTTGTTGTGTCGATTACTCAATATTGGAGAACAGCGTAAGTTATTGTCTCGAGTTACAGTGGACTTGGCCGCAAAGAAAAACAATTCTGTTTATCAACTCGAAGCAAAAAGATGCGTATCCACCAAAGCGAGCCTATATCTGCGCAGTTCTTCTACACTCGGATTACAAAATTAGACAAGCTAGGATCAGTGATAGTTTCGTCTCTTATAACGAACAATTGTGCGTCATACAGCCACAACCAGTTAGCGTCGGCTATTAATTTATGGAATTTGTAATGTATTTGCGCTGGCTGCAAATCCTCCAAGTAAATAATGTTTGGTCAATATTTTTATTTATTTATTTAGCTTTGCCAACTAGGGCAGGGTCACCACAACTGCATATGCCAATTACTGTGGGCCCTTTTACCTAACCCACCCTGTCAACTTTCCCTGTGGGAGGAAACCGGAGTACCCGGGGAAAACCCACGACTTTCGGTAGAGCGTTGACTTTAACGATAACTTAAAGTGACTCTGTTAACTTTCATACGTAGTATAACTTTTTTGTAGATGGATTATTCGAACGTAAATTTATAGCCTTATATATTTTTAGAATACCATCGGAATCGCAGAGTCGCACGTTCGCCTTCCTGCGAGAGGGCCTAGGTCTAAAAGTATAAATAACTATTTGCGTTCGGAAATTCCATGCATCTACGGAAAAAGAGCCATCCATTGTTGGTCCAAGCAAACGAGATGTCCACCAATCTTGATATTCGCCCATAATACATGTAGGCTACGTTGACACTTGTACCGGATAGCTTTTCCTAACGACGTGAAAAAACGCCTATCCGTACCTTTTAGCAACGCTATTTTCAGAGGAATTATTGCAACAGAAAGAGGTTGTTTCGTTCAGCTTCCGAACAGGGTGTCCACCCTTTGGTGAAGGTGAAATTCAAGGACTTTTCCAGGACTTTCAAGGCCCTTTTTCAGGAAATTCAAGGACCTGGATCTGGGAAAAGTCTTTGAAAATGGCCCAGCAAATAATTCACTTTATTCAGCAATTTTAATCAAAATCACTAATGTTGGCACAGCTGGAGGTTAAGGAAATTAATTCAAGGACTTCTACTGATTTTCAAGGACTTTCCAGTCCTGGAATTTTGTTTTTCCAATTCAAGGACTTTCCAGGATTTTCAAGGCCCGTGGACACCCTGTCTGAAAGTTGTACATTCCGTATCAGATAGATGCTTTTTTGAACGGAAAGCTATCGATCTGGTATATAGTGGTGAACGTAGCCATTGTATCTTAAACAAAGATCTATTAAAACTACTCTCTAATCTCAGGCTTTTCACTTTTCTAGCGGATGACACATCATCCGACTACTACCCCATCTTCTTCACGACGGAGTCGCCGTTTCAAGAACTATTTTGTATATGCATCACTCTGTTAGGAAAAACATGGCGAGAAATGAAAGCAAAAGCCGAAGACTTTGGCAGAGTAAGTTTTTATGAAGATTCATTGTATCTGATATTCTTACTGTATTCTTTTTGAAGTATTTGAAGTACATCATTAAACGTTTGAGTGCATTTTTGCCATTCTGGCATACGTGTATGTTTCCTGATAATACTAAAAAACTTTGACGGCTTACAATGTGCGAGTTTACATGTAGTATATTTTGTCTATTTGTTCTAGGTGATGAGTGTTGTAGAAAAACAGATAAAAGAAACTTTAAAGGAGAAACAACCGACCTTAGATGTTTTTAAAGTAATGTATTATATAATATAATAGGGATCGTTTCGTCAACGCGACGACGGCTATTCACTCAATGATATTCCTTATCTTGTAGAGAAGAACTGAATAATTAAAACCCCACGGCAGTTAGAGACATTGCGTTAGCGCTTTTTACATTAGCTAACTATCAAGAAAATGTTGTCACACTTGTTCTATCGAGTTCAGTTAGAACGTTTTAAACGCTACATAATAAGAATGGAGGCGGCCATTTTGTTGTGAGCTCATTAGTTATTCTGCTCATGTGAATATAGAGGCCAATTATAAACCAATATCTATCAACTGTTAAGGCCCATTTCCACTCAGGAAAATTTTCCGCAGAAAGAGAATTTTGTAAATGTGATTTAACATTTCCAACTTTTAAAAATAATATTTTCAGAAAATT